GAAGGGACCACAGATGCAAGGCAGATCCCCCTTTAGGCACTGATTTTGCATTTGCACAGCACTGTAAAGTAGTGGGAAAATAATTTGGGGGCTCATTTTTTGTCTGGTAAAACAAGCAAAAATTAATGTTTAATTCTTGAAAGGAGTTCAATACATTTTAGAGAGGTTATACAAATAACATTCTAGCTTGGAGATTATATACTGGAATGCGTATATGTTGTTGTTTGGGGGTGTTGGTATGCAATAGAGGCAGAGGTGTGTTATTTTCCATTAAAAGGGTGTGTTTGTGTGTAAAAATATGTACAGATCAATCCAAGTTTATCTTCACCTCAGGACATTTAATAGTCAGAGAACATGTTCAGTTCCAAACACTGATGCAGTTTTATATAAAATTAAATTCACAGCTTAGAGCAGAAATCAGCCCTAGTGTATATCACTAGGCAGGTTTGGGAATATATTATTTACCAATAATTCCTAGTGAAAAACAATTAATGAAATCAAGTAGCCTGTCAACTGAGTAGGACAAATGTAATGGAAGGTGAGGAGGAAGAAAAACTGAATTATGGCAATTGTCTCAAAGCACATACATTGATACTTGTTCATACTCCAGCTGCCTTCCATTAAATATGGACAGAAGATAGTGTCAAAAGCAGCCATATTGATTTGACATTTCATTTATAATCCAATAGAAGAAACAAAGATGATCATTTACCCATACATTTGATTTCACACTGATAATCATAAAAGTATTTTTCATAATGCCTATAATTTTTCCCCTCAGTCCAAACCATATTTTGGTGTCAGAGGCTAAACCAACTGGCTCTTACTATTTTACTGCATGCTTTAATTCTGTATCCCTCCTCCCTGTTACACGACATGATTGGGACTTCGAAGGAGTTTAATAAGCAACATACACAAACAATTTGAAGTACTGCAAGGAGAGAATATCAGTGCTTACCATTGGCAGTCTACATCCAGGAATGCTGGGAAAATCATGGTGTTCCATATGATAGCCAACATTAAAGGTGATCCAGTTGAGGGGTCCATAGTACGAATATGTTTCATGTCCTTTCAAAAACATGTAATGCTCTGCTATGAAATGCCCAGAAATAGGGTGCAAACCCATGCCCAGGATTGTTCCTGCTATTAAATAAACAATAGGCTTCCAACCCCACAAATAATAGATTGTAAGGTCAACAGAAAATTGTACCAAAGCATTGAATATTTCCATCTCAGTAATTGCTTTGGGGTTTACATACAGTGGCCTCAAACCATAAAAAAATGGCTGGAAGACAAGCCAGATCAATTTCCGAAGTGGAGTACAGAAGAACCAGCCCTCAAAATTGGTAGGGATGTCCACATCCAAAGTATCTCCACCAAGGTATCGATGGTGGTCAATGTGGTACTTCTTGAAAGAGGCAGAATAAGGTAATCCAACAGGCAAGTTGGCAAAGACTGCAAACCATCTATTCCACCTGGCCTGCTTGTTGCCAAAGGCAACATTGTGAGAGATGTCATGGATTGCTAGCGTCATAGAGTGGTTGATGCAGCCCCCAAAACCATAGGCCCAGAAGAAAACCCACTTCCAGGCTAAATTTCTCATCAGGTAGCAGGCAAGAAGCTGAGTGAATACCATTCCTGTCACAATCCATTTTAAATGGGGATCTGGTCCCATTAAAGACTTGATGGCTGGATATTTGGCTGAGGGAGGAAAGAAAGATGAAATTAAATGCAGTTGAGAACAGTCTTGCTCCTATGAAATTAAAGGGTCATCTAGCCCAGAAGTCTCACGTCACCAGTTCTTGAACTATCTATATCACATAATTAGATCCCTTCGACAGAAAGAAGAAAAGAGGTTATATCGCAAACTAAATTGTTTGAAAATTACTGAAACTACATACTACATGTGATAATAAAACAGACAACAGCAACAAAATACAGAGTCACCACTCCATTTATATGAGGAACTCTTATTCTTTCTTAATATTCCATCTTTCCGTTGTAGAGTCCATGTCCCAGGCAGTCTCCTAGCCAAATAATTACTAAATTCAGATCTGCTTAGTTTTAGGAAAGTTGCTCTATCATACACCTTCAAATCCTTCCTTGGGACCTTCCAACAGAGGTCCTGGAATCTGATATTTCATTATTTGGTTCCACTTCCCCATTAATTACATAAATATTCTTGTCTAAAGCTTTGTTATTTTAAATAAGGGATTATTTTAAAAATTAGTTTTAACTTGACTTAATATGAAATTTAGTTCTAGACCTAAACCTCAGCTATAATTCTATAACTAAATACTCTCCCTCTTCTGCTTTAAAAAGAGGCCATTGGGAAAATATGCTAAAACAGCTGACACCAAAACTTGATGCCCATGAGAATGTAGCAGGCTATATGCCCTATGTGCCCTAGTGCCACCTTCCTCTGATGCAAAGAATTGCATTTTAGAATCATTTGGAAGAAGGGGCAACGTTGATGTCTCCTAAGCTTTGGAGCCCTACTCAGCCTTAGCCTACAGCTGGCCCTATTGAACCCAAACATTGACCATCAGAATGTCTAGCATTAAAAGTAGGAAGGGACCCCTTGACTTCTTATGTTGTTTAGCAATAGCTGGGTTGATTTCCTACAGTTGGGGTAAAAGATTATTAAGACATTTCTGATTTGTAAATAGCCAGTTTTATTTAACTGTAGCAGATAAATGAAATATCCCTTTCTAGAAACAACCTTTCTCAACTTCTTGTCAGCCCCACTAGCTAGACCAGACGATGAAATCAACTCCACATGATGTCTACAATTACTTTTATTGAGACTGACTATAATAACAGAATCTTGCAAGTCTGATTGCACTGCCACTTCCCCTTCCTCCTTATAGTTCAGTGACTTAGGGGGGCTGTCACTGAATGTTATCTAGAGGTTCTGGACTTTAAAAATGCTTTAGCCCCTGTTGCCTTGGCAAGGTCATCTTTATCTCTACGCCAGCTTATAGATGAGAAGGGACCAGTCCACAGGATTTTGCTGCTTTCATCAGTGTGATGAAAGCAGCATGGTGCTTTAGCACCACCCCTTTTGGGTAGGTGTGAGAGGTCACTGTGCATACAGAAAAAGGGCAGGACAGTCTAAGCCTCCTTGTTCCCGGCAAATGCCTCTGGTGGGGACTGCAACTCCTAGAATACCCAAACAGACCACTGCTGGTTGTCCTGGTGAAATTTCTGGCTGTTGTAGTCCCACAATATCTGGAAGGTGAAGCTGAATTAGAACCTGGCTCTTTTCCAGTAAAACCCCTTGGAGAGCAACCAGTAGTTCTGTTTTCATGTCAGTGTTACATATTACATCTGAGGGAACTCTCTTGAGGCCTTTTTATACTGTGTATTAGGAGGAAGATAGTTCAAGATACAGGTAGTCCTCGTTTACTGACAGTAATTGAGACCAGGAACTCCATTGCTACGTGATGCAGTCATAAGGTGCCACATCCTGTGGCTGTGCCAACTTACAATGGCATTTGCAGCAGTCCCAATGGCCATTGTTAGGCAAATCCCGTGCAGTTGCAGCATCCTACGGTTACAAGACTGCCATTTGTGACTTACTGCTGGGTTCCCTGTTTACTTTGCTTGTCGGAAGCTGGCAGTGAATGTTGCAAATGGCAATCATGTGACCGTGGGACCCTGGTCGCCAAGCGCCTGAATCACAATCATGTGACTGGAGATGTTGCAACAGCTACAACTATGAGGACCCATCGTAAGTCCCCCTCATTCAGTGCCATTATAACTTTGAATGGTCACTGAATGGGTGACATTAAGTGAGGACTACCTGTACATCTCTTAATTTTAGAGGATCACCATCCACAAAAAAACCAGGCAGAAGTATTTCTACAAAACCCTGAAGGCCTAGCTTTAATGGTTAAATTCCTGTTGCACTGCAGTCCCATTAGAGGATGGGGCAACCTTGAAACTATGGATGCTGCTAATACTGGCAACAGCGTGAGGAGCTCCCTGAAATGGCTCATCTGCTTCTCCTAGAATATCTTGATAAATGTCCTTCACGCAAATGTTCAACCAATTTTCCAGGATACCAATTTATCCATTGCTCCTGCCACAAAAGGTTTGCTTCAAATGGCTAGTCATTATTCATCACAGAAGGAACAACTGGTTCTTGACAGAAACTGGTTGGGATCCTAAGTTTGCTCTCACACTCATGAAAGTACCCCATGAAGAGTTTCACTCATGTTAATAATGAACATTTTCACTCATGTCTTTGTTCAATGGCAGTACCTTCTGTTCCTCAACAGTCAACTCCAAAAGACTGGGATTTTGCAGTACATTATGGGAAGAGCAGAACCAATAAAAATGGCCTCTGCTGCTGGAAGGACAGTCTGCTGGATCTCAATCCTGCCTATCTGCTAAAGGAAGAAGCCCTTGCTCTCCCAAATCCAAAATCCAAGCCAATGAGACTTGTGACATCTTTGAGGCTATGAAGAAGTAGCCTTTATGGGCACCTGAACATATTATCAAAATGGGTAGCTTATTCAACAACATTAGTAATAGCCTGGGAACTAGGGACTGAAATGCTGTATTGTGATGAGAGACTGAAATTTTAAACCCTGGCTCCCTCTAGTAGTGTGTAAGAGTAGAGGAATACTACTGTATCATCAAATATTCTACGATCTTTCTGTCGTGCCCCTGTCTAGGTTGGTGATGGGCTTCTTAGGATGGTGTGTAAACTTGACCTTGGGATCCTTTGTTTGCCAGGAATGTACAGAACAGGTCCGCTACTTTGGCTTTATAATCAGTCTTGACCCTTGGAGACTACATGGACAAGCCCACAGAGTTTTCTTGGCAACACACTCAGCCAAAATTTCTAAATACCAAGACAGTTAATGTAAGGGAATTTGTAGCAGCCATCTATAGCACCCTCCAGATGTGTCTGGTCTGTAATTCTCAGAATTTCCAACCAGCATGGCCTCAGCATACAAACCTAAAAGACATTTTTGCCCCAATGAGTGCTACTTGCTATCTTCAAGGCAAGCATGAAGCAATGTTAACATGCGATTGATTTTTTAAAAATACGTCACTTCCCTTCTTTTGTTGACCTTTGATCAAGTTGAGAGATGCTACGATCAAGCCTTATGTGTGCGTTGTTCTTTTGACCTAGCTGCTTTGAGATCAACTTTTCACCAAAATCCAACCTGCTTGTGAAGAAGAGAGATTGACCTGCCATGGACAGGAGAACAGAGCACCAATATGGAGCTCCTGGCTGCTCCAGTGTCCCCTTAAGTCAGCCACTCACAACTTTCATTGGTCCAAGGGCTGCTTCAGCCTTTGAACAAAATCCTGTGGGCCACATAAAAATATTAAAATGGTGGGATGGCCATTTGATTCCTTAAATATTAATACTTATACTTTAAATTAATGCAATTAGGTAATTGTTAAAATTTAGCACTTGCAATGATTCTAATCCCTTTCCCTCTCCATTATTTTCCAGACTTAAATAAATTAAGATCATGTGAGTAAAGTCCTTCCCAGCTTATTGGTAGAGTTTGTCCATAAACTTAACAAGAACATCTAGAAGAAGGGTACATAAAAGGACAGACCATTCTGACAAATGGAGAAGAAAGGATATCCCTCAGTCTAACTTCACACCAACTACTTGGAAACCAATGGTTCACTGTCACCTGTAGTACTAACACAGACTCCCATTTACTTTTAAACATAACTGGCATGTCTCCAATTTCTTTTTTCAATTGCAAGTGGCTTCATTCATCACTAACATCAGGGTCTGTTAGCTCTCTATCCCTCTCGTGTTCAAATATATTTAGGTAACCAATAGGTTCTAGGTAGCTAAAAATGCACACGCTTCAGGGATTCTGTTGTTCACAGAGATGTGACAATCTGCTAAGAAAGAAGCATTTCACCTCCTTAAGCACAACTTTCCTATGAACTGTTCTTAAATTCCCTTTCTGACCAAAGCTGAACCGCTTTTCATTGTGAAAAGAAAAAATCCTTCTTTTCAGCCTGCATGCCATTTTTTATGCTTCCCTTTACCAGCACTAAGGAAATAACACATGGGTTTCTGGAAGCTGGGGGTGAAACCAATCCACATCAGGAGACCAGAAAAAAGTAAAACTCTAGACTTATTTTTTTTTTAAACGGAGGGGGGAAACTACTTATTCCAGAAGAACTTCCACTAGCAAAGTCTAGGGACTTTATGCTGATGCTCTAACTCAGGAATGAGGACTAGCACCTTGACTCCAATTTATAAACTGGGTTATGTGCAAACAGAAAAAGCTAATCTTTGGCTGCAGGATGCCTGAGTAAGTGACTGCTTTTGTGGGAAGATGGTTTGATTCCCTGAGCTGTTCATTCCAGCATCACAGAATAAACAAACTCTCATAAGTCTGTTAGGTTCTGTTTATACAAGTTTGCCTGATTAAGTAGCTGACCATTGGGAAATCTCTGGGCTTATCAGAAAGGGAGCTCTCTGCAGCACAGTAGCTACAGAACTGGGGCAAAGTTGCTTTTCTCAGGGAAGAACTGATTGCTGGAGATAGGGTCAATACCAGCAGCAATTCACTACTTCTTCATCCTCTACAGGCCCCACACAGTCTGTCATTGCCACAAATTAGTTTCATGTTGATATTATTAAAGAATGAACAATAACATAAAAGGTATGCTGTAACTTGCCGGTAAAATCAAATTCCCACACAGTT